TCCGCCCCGTACCTCTCGAGGCTGGGGACCCAACCGTCCAAGATCCCGCCTGATCAAGAAGTCTCGGGCTTCTGCCAGTTGCTTTGCCTTTGTCTTACCACTGTTGTTACTACTGAGTCATTGGCGCTGGCAACGACGTCCAAGACGACTGCTACTGCTACTGCTACTGCTACTGCTACTGCTACTACTACTACTACTACTACTACTACTACTACTACTGCTACGACGACGACGAGGACGAGGACGAGGACGAGGACGAGGAGGAGGAGGAGGAGGAGGACGAGGACGAGGACGAGGACGAGGACGAGGACGAGGACGAGGACGAGGACGAGGACGAGGACGAGGACGACGAACACGACCATGACGACGACTGCGACCACGACCACGACAGGACCACGACTGCGACCGCGACCTCGACCACGACCGCGACGAAGACCACTACCACGACTGCGACCGCGACCGAGAACACGACCGCTGTTGCCACCACGACGACGACGACAACGACTCGACTACTGCCGCACGACTGCAACCACTACCACTGTTACCACTGCTACCACAACTACTGCGGCCACTACAGCTGCGCCTGCTGCGACTATGGCGGCTACGGCTACGGTCACGGCCGCTGATCAGGGCCAGGCTCCGGCCCGCGACCGCGACCAAGACCAGGGCCGTGACCACGCCGACCCCGGCCCCTACCACTGCCCCTGGTACGCAGACGACGAAGAATACTGCTACTACGACGGCGATGCTCACCACTGCTATGACAGCTATCACGACTGCTTTTGTCGCAACTGCCAGGCTCTGGTGTGTCTTCGAACTAGCGGCCTACCGCAAAGCCAATCCGGATGGGCGTATGGTCTTGGCACCTCTCTTTATCGAAGCTGGCGTCCTCCTGCGACTCGGCGATCCGAAGTTGCAGACCTCAATCTTATGGAACAATCTCAACCTTTCTGATGTCACGCTCTGCTTTCGCAAGCTGTTGCTAAGGAGTCTCTTGGGGACATATTTTGCAGCTTTCCTCTTTGCAGCGGGCTTCGTGCTGGACTGGCAGTCTCTCGAAATCCGCTTCGTGGGCTACGTGCTTGGGTAGCCCTGCTGCGAATCTGGCTGGGGAGTTTTGGGTGCATGGCTTTTGTGGCTTCTGTTCTGCGTGTCGTTGATTTTGGTAACTTCGGGCTGCAGGCTAAAGCCAGGTAGTTTGCTGGCTCAGTACATGGTCATGCCGAACACTGTCGGATGCATCCGACAACCGAAACTTTGTCGTATGTCGACCCAGCTTCAGCCGAGAGAAAGCTAGCTGAGGCTGGCACCCATCTATGTGCTCATGCACCTCTTTCGCCGGACGAACATGGCCAAGCTAAAGCTTCTGTCAGATTTGCAGACGTTTGACTTGGCGCGAGCTGCCTGCCTGCACAGTTCTGTGACTCGCTGACGGTTACCGGTAGCACCAACCATCGCATACTACTCGTAGCAGCTTACTAGCAACGGCTGCGGGTTGTTTCATCAGGCTGACTGCCGCACAGACTTTGACCGCGAGTTCATACACCGGGCCATCACTGAGTGGTATGGGAGCAAGGAGAAGTTCACACAGTACGTTCGTGGGCCGCTGCGTGGCGAGTTGTTGGGTGGCAACAAGGAAATCCTACCGCTCCAGTATATCTTGCTCGTTTCCACAGTGACGTTTAGTGCGTCGCTGGATAACATCATTGCGCTGGATCTGGGACAAGTGCCGCTCTACTGGCAGTTGGCGCAGGCCATCGCAAACTGTTGCGGCTTCCACCTGTGCTGGCATCTCGTCTCATGTAAGTTGAACCGAGTAGTAGCTCTACTTCTGGGATGCTGTACCGCTGGTGTCCCAGGTTCGTGATGTTTCTGAAGCTTTGCATCTTTCTCTGCGACCGCTTTGCTGCACCGATGTTCCCCGGGCTGCTCGACTTTGTGCAGACCTTCGTCCTTTTCGGCGCTGGTGTTGCGTTTTACTACGCTGGGGCAGAGCTCAGTCGCAGGGCCTACCTGGCCAGCCTCGAGGCATCCATTGCATGGGCTCTTTCCGCGTGCCTTTTGGCCGTCCTGTCTTTCTTCACTGATCGGATTGTCAATCACCGGTTTCACTCATCGCAGAGAGCGAACGGTTCCCCTGCACGCACTGGTCCCTAAACTCGGGAGACCAACAGCGCGGCCAAAGATGGACCAGGCATCTCCAAAAGAAGCCTCGGGATCGAAGAATCTAGGAGTCGCTGGGAGCCCTTTGCCCACCTCAGACCCTGTAGCCCGGCTGCCTAGAGGATGTGAAGGGCAGCTTGCTAGAGCAGGCCCATGGCTACAGGAACAGGCTTGAAGCTCCTGAGCAGTTGCGATTGTTATGGAGGGCTTGCCAAAGCGCACTGCAGCCCCTGAGCCTTGAAGCAGGCTTGGTGCTGCAGGGGCCCCAGCATATGCTTTGTGCAGGCAATTGCAGGCTCCGGATCGAACCATCCTTGTCATGTTGTGAAACAGTTGCAGTAAACCTGCAAGACAGACGGCACTGGAGCTTTGCAGCTTGGGGAAGGTTGTCTTGAAGCCCCGTACCTGAGGTCATCACGGTGGCCACTGTGCAACTACTACTTACGACTGCACTGCAGGTTGGGCACTGCAGATTTCTGAGTGTTTGGGATCCGATTCTTCTGATGTTCTTTAGCTCTTCCTTTTGTCAGAGGCTCCGAGAGGACGAAGCAAAACTCCGGCAGCAGTCGGACCTGAGCATGCCTCAGCCTTGATGCCGCAAAGAGAAATGAGCCAGGCTACGCTGACTGGCAGTCTCGTTGGTCAGATGCCAAAGCTGATTGGTGCTTCTGGACTGCAATTTAGGTCTGGGGAGTTTCGATGTTCCATCAGCTTTCTCTCTGTTTCTCGCTCAAAACAATTCTCGATCATGGATGCTGGACTAGAGCCAGAGCTTTCCTTTTTGAAGGAGGATCTTTGTCAAGCCCAGCTGAGGTTGCAGCCACGAGCAAAAGGGTTGCCAAGAGATGGGCACTTCCGTTCCTCGATCCGGTTGCGGTAAACGAGTATCAAGGTCGACCGGAAAGTGATCGGTGGCTTTCCGTCATAACTTGAATTTGTATCGCTAGCGGGCCAGAGCAGTCCAGTAACCTCACTCAGCGAGATGCTTGCAAGCATCACTGCGAAAGTGTCGTCAAGATTCCGCCTCCACCATCGTTTGCTTGCAGGTCACGGAGGTCGTGCATCACGTCCCGGTGCCGGTCCCGGTGCCCGTCAAACAGACGCACGTGGTCTACCACAGCAGCTTGGCGCTATCGTGGTAAACAGTACGTTTCGGCAACAGGGGCCGGCCATAAGGTTATGGTGGCGATCGGAATCAGTGTAGGACTTCCGAACCCAAAAGCCAGAAGGTCAACGCTTGCATGTGTAAGGGCCCTTCTTGCCCCCTGGTTTCGCGGCCTGATCCGAGGCCATCCAGTTCCTGTGCCCGTGGTGGTGCATGATGTGGTGCATGTGCATCAGTCGGTGCCTGAGGTGAACTCTCGCTGTAATCACATCAGGGCGAGAAGCTTTTCTTTGGGTCTGGCAGGCATCACGGCTACGACTGCTGGCATGGGGCCGACTGGTCTCCAGCCAAGAGGCCCCGAAAACTGCTCCGAGAATGCAGACTTCGGGTAGAGTGTAGAGACTATGTACGTTCAGACCCAATGTGCAGTGGACATGCTGTGCGTTCTTGCAGAAGGCTTTGTGATCCCTAGCTCTCATGCACCAACAGGAAAGTGCTCAAGCATAGGTGCAGCCAGCTGTTTCGCGCATGCGCTTGGAATGCGGAGCCAGGCACTACTGTTGTTCACAACACAACCTGGGCTGCTCGTCCCACGTGCACGTAGCTGCTCGGCAGGATACTGCACCAGGGGGCTTGTCGCTGAACTCCTTCTGCTGTAGCCGACATGTCTCAGAACCATGTGCAGCTTGCATTAGGATGCCAGGAAAAGGTATCAACAACGGAAAGTCACCAAAAGATTCCATCCCATCCTTCTGTAGGTGCCGTCTCATCATAAGCATAGCTGTAGCACAGCCGGAAAAACTGCGGCTTCTTAGGTTCACGTCTACCACCACGTTCGCGGGCATTTTGACTGCCAAGCAGGGCAGTCAAGCTGGCAGGCGCAGTCTGCGAAGCATCCCGAATCCTCAGACTCAGTCCGCGCGCACGTGATGTAAGTAGCCTGTAACCAGTTCTGAGTTGCTTGCGTGCGACCGCATTAGGTCTGAGTAATCTTTTCAAACGCAGTGGTTCACACCTGGGGTTCGCTAGATCTCCAACAGCATAGACCCAATGTTTAGAGAGTGCTGCAGGTAGGATGGTCCGTTGCCAAGAAGCACTGGTGCTGCGTGCAGTACATGGTGGGCTGTCCGGAGGACTTCCTTACTGTCCTTGCATGCCTGGTTTCGGTTTGCTTGCTTGATTGGTTCAGGACTCTGGTGCCTCACCTTCAGTGACGCATAGTGTCGTCCACACTTATGCGACTGGGTACTGTCTGATAGGTGAGTGACAGGGCAGGTGGAAGAGAAGGAACACATGGGTTCGTGCAGCTTAGGAGAACGGTGATGACTTCCCCAGCGGATCAGTGGATGGCCTTGTCGGTGGCGTGGCGGATGGCGACTTAGCCGGTGGCTCCGTCAACGACGATTTTACCAGTGAGACAGAGGAGGGTGACTCTGTGGATGGTGACATCGTGGAAGGCTCCGGCGTTCCGACTGAGTCCTCGGTGGAGGTACCCGCAGTGGAATCGGAGGAATCCGACTCCGTGTCTGAGGGTCTGGGTAGCGAAGGCTCTTCGGGGCATCCGTTCCTAGCCACTCCCCTCGGCGATGAAGTGACAGAGGACGTCACAGACGAGGCGAAGAAGTGAGCTCCAACCTCCGGCCCATCGCTGCTCTTAGTGTGGTCATAGGACCATAGGGCCTTTTCAAGCATGCTCGGGAGTTAGGCAGTCATTGGGGCAGCCACTTGCTTAGGGCTGCGGCGCGGGCTGACTAATTCATCGCCGGCGGCTTCAAAGACGGTCGCCGGTGCTGTGGGAACCACGCTACGGCGCTACTCAAGTCGCGAGCTTCAAATCCGATGAAGTGCGGGGCTCCTGCCAAGCTTTCGTCTGCTGGTCTGCGGGCCTCCTGTCGACAATGTGAGCAGCTCTGGGGTACTAGGGTAGTCGTCACAACCTCGACCTGGCTGCAAGAGTGGTAGCCATGATCCGAGACCCGGATGTTCCGGCAAAGTCAGCATGAGTATTGTTCAGAACGGTCTAGGTCCTAGACTTTGTCGGCGGGACAGCTCAGCAGGGGTTTAGGTTTGTGTCACTTCGACGGATTCGCTGCAGGTGGCCTTCTGCCACGGAGGGCCCCAAAGGGGCTTCAGGGCCTCCGGGCTGAGGGTCAGGATTCAGGCTTGCGGATGGCTGGTGCTTGCCTTGTAAGCAAGACTCATCGGAAGAAGCCCGTTTAGGTCTCATCGCCAGCCTCCTACGCTTTGGCCCGCGCCTGTCCGTGATTCCATGTAGTCTTTTCGCCGAAGTCGGCTTCGGGCAATGAAAACAAGCGTCTGCTGCGCCGTAGTAAGGTAAAGCTGAATATCTCCGCATCTCTGCTTCACGGTGGCCAAGATATGCTACAGTAAGTTGTGCAGACACGAGAGAGAGCGCGAGAGAAACTGAGCCGGTTGTGTTGTGAAGAGTGGGGCCCATGCGTTGCTTCTCTTGAAGTCCACGACATCCAGGAAACAGCCCACTGCATGTTGTACTTTGAGAAGCCCACTGGTCAGTGCTTTGCCTAGCGACAACCTCTGCCGGCTCTGTGAGGTTGATGGGCTGCACTGATGCGGAGCCTGTGCGCTGGCTGTTGGCGTTAAAAATACTGACGACTTGTTCTGAGAGTATCATAGCGCAGCACTGCGCATCCTGTGGACGCCACGCGCAAGGGCATGCAAAGTGCACACAGGTCTTCAGAGATGCTGGCCCGAATGCCCACAGCCACAAGCAAATCCGGCAAAAACGCCAATCAACCCGCTGGTTCCTTGAAGGAGAGCCCTGTGCCTCCGAGCCCACCGCAGACAAGGAGGCCCCTGAGAAGGGCATTGTACGCGATCGAGAGGTCAGCCGTGCTTGAGCAGTTTTCCTGTGCTGTGCCATTGCGACCTTCCATCCAAGCGACATTTCACCGATACCTTCAATCAGGAATTGGCTAACAACCTCACCTGAGAGGCATTCCCAATGCGATGTCGATTCATGATACTTCGAGTTGATGGGTATCCGTTCTCCCAAATGTCATGCATTTTCGAGGCGGCCTCTTTTCGAAGCCCACGGAGCGCCAGCTGGGAGCCTTGGCATCTGCGACGTATGCAGGAAATCCGATGTGTCAGGTGTTTGCCTCAGGCTGTCCACTCCAAGCTCCGAACACCCCATGTAGTGGGCTTGCTCTGTGAGATTGCTCCCAGGCCCCCCAGGTTTCCGTTCACCGTGCCGAGTCCCCGCCACAGGTCCAGTCAAGGGCCCTGGCTGCACACATGCGAGGCACCCCGCGCCAAGCCGTGTAGGACCAGAGAAATTAGGGTTGCTCTAGGCCTTTGCCAACGCTGGAAGCATTGGGCAGCTGAGACATATGTCTTTTCGGAGAGTCATCTGCAAGCATGATGGTATGGTCAGGAGTCCAATCCGCCCTCATGTCATATATATATATATATACATATGGTATATATATATATATATATAATATATGTGTATGTTGTGAATACTGAGCTAGCTTGGTGCAAGCTGTCGCCATAAGCTGCATGCCGACGGCCCAAAAGCAGTTGTGGTGAACCATTCGGCAAAACGTGCCTTGCAAGACTATGCATTGCAATGAATCCAGTTTGAGCCAGTGTAGCATTCATTGGGCTCTAGGGGGTCTCTCGTTCCGTCCGTCGCCATGCCGGCTGACTGGCCTGCAGCGATGGTGAAAGCCCCAGTTCTGCTCGTGAGGGCTCAGCGGTCCTTGGAGGTCTCAATGCCTGATCTCGAGTGGATGATAACAGTATCAGTATCATTGGTCGAGACCTTCAAGATCCCACACCTTCGGTGCGAGCATCTTTTTTTTTACACAGGAGCGCGAAAGCCCAAGGTTCTGGGGATCGTGGTGGGTTCCCTGCTCACCCTCTTGGTGGTGGCCGCTGTCATCAAGAAGAAGGCCATCGGAGTGACGCAACCTCAGAGTGCCTGGAGACCTGTAGAAGTAGCGGGAGTGTTCCACAGCATCTCTTGCGGAATCCAAGGAAGGCCACGGAGTGATCGCGACGGGCAGGCTGGCCTCGGGTAGCGGGGAAGCGATCCTCAGCCAGAAGCCCTTGCAGGGACGCCACCGGATGTCACGTGATCGTGGAGGTGGAGGGCTGCAAGCCATCGGGAGAAACCCAAGGCTGTGTTCTGACAGCGAGAGCTGGTCATCTCTAAAACTCGGCTTGATTGGTGGGCAGGAGGAGGCTCCTTGGAGGAGACAAGTGAAAGGAGCGATAGGTTGTGAGCGCTTCTCACGCAAGGTGAGAGGACGCCACAGCCACAGAAAGGCACATCTTGTACAGTGCCTGTTATTTCTTTCAAGCTTCTGTCCAGCCTGCGAGGGCAGGGCCTTGGCATGTTTCACCGCAGCAGGCCTTCGTTAAGTCAACGACTCTGGCTCCTGATTGGGAGCGATGCCTTGCAGTCCTTGCAGTCCAAGGTAGGGTTTCAGGCACTGGTGGACTGTGAGAGTGCGCAGCGGAGAGGAAGGCTGCTTCAAGATTCCATCCATGCCGCTGCTTGGAGGTACTAGTATCAACTAGTATCAACTAGTATCAACTAGTATCAGTGATGTTCAAAGTTGGTTGCCGAGGTTTCAGGCTCTCTGCTGCTCGCTTGGCCCGGCTCGCGCCAAATCAAACCGGAGAGCCTTTAGTAAGTGGTGCTGACTAGGAGTGCATGAAGCCCATGCGTGAAGCCCATGTTGACTTTCCAAATCATCAGCCGACGAAGCAGCGTGCCAAGAGAGAACTAGCAGAGGGTTAGCCAGTCTAGCCAAACATGCTCATGAGCAGGAGTGTATTAGCAGCCCAGATTCTGCAGAACTTGTGGAGCCCGGCAAAGGTACTCAGAAAGACTTGGGGTGCTTTCTTGCTCTTAGGGTTGGAGTTTGTTTCGTTTTGAGGCTTACAGAGCTTGGCAGTGAGACCAGACTTCCTCGTCGCTGTGATTCGCAAGATGTGTGCCATGGCACCAGTGCTCTTGGCCTTGCTTTGGCCAGCGGCAGTGTTGGGGTCGGGGTCTCAGGGATTTGCAAGGACAGCAGCGACGGCGGCCGACCTTCTGAACCCAGGGTCGGTCGCTAAGCTCAGGTCTTTGAGTCCTTGCGATGTACCTGGAACTAGGCGGGCTCAGGGTTCGGCCTGAAGTGCCCAAATCGCTGCCTTCGGGGAAGTGCTGTGCCAGGTTCCGCGGTGAGCCACTCGGAGTTCTCCGTGGGAGCCCCAGCCCCGCCCCTTCCAGGTCTTCCAGTCTCATTCTGTGATAACGGTCTTTGTTCATTGTAGTAGGTTTGAGCTTGATTCGATCGGGCTGATATCAGAAGTAGCAGTGCTGTAAGCCGGTTCCTTGTCGTACGGTAAGCGACGGCTATCACCCTGCTGGCATCAGAAGATAAAGATCCAGATCGACACCCCCACCATGCTTATCCAACACGCAACGCTCTGTTTCGCTGGCCTCCTGATCCGGCAGGTCACCGAGATTCCTTGCTGGTACACCACTGCTGTTGAACTAGCGATGACTAAGTTTCTCACTGTTCTCACAGCCTAAACAAGCTCTGCTCCCGAGCTGCGGAGCCGCTTCAAAGACACGGGCCGAAAGTCTTTGCACAAGCCCAGGAGGTGGTAAGCTTGTGTTGCTGGTCGCATTGCACCGGCGAGTGCACTCGAGCAGGGCGAGCTTGTGCTCTCAGGGCAGGCCTCAGCCTACCTCTAGCTGACCTAGCTGCCGCGGCTCGAGACAGCCACCGAAACGAAACATCCCAGCCATGCTCCACCTGACCGCGATCACGGTTTTTATCGCCTGTGGCATCGCTTCTGGGTCGGAGTGCTTGGAGTGCGCTGGAGATGAAACTCTTCTGGTGCAGTTGAAGCCACTCAGTTGCACGTGGCAGACGTTTGTCCACAGAGCGGGATCCTTGAAGGGAGCTTACCAGACACTGTGAGCATACGCGGAGCATACTCGGATGAGCCAGCAGTTTGTATAGCCCTCTGTCAACAGCTCCGTCAAAGCCCTCACATGCATGCCGCCAGGGAGGTGCATAGCCACGAACTCGGCAAGAGCAACACCAGTGCAGCCGTGCAAGAGGTCGCTTTGGAGATGAATTTCAGAGTTTGGTGACCATAGTTGGGCTGATGCTGCATCTAAAGATGAGTCTGTTAGACCGATAGATCGATAGATCGATAGATAGATAGATAGATAGATAGAGTGATTGTTCGATTTCAAAGATAGACAGATAGATAGATAGATAGGTTGATGGATTGTTAGATGTCAGATAGATGGATAGATACATAGAGATGGCATTGATATCAAAGTTTGTGGCAAAGTTTCAGCCGGAAGCTCAGCAGCTACTCACAGTGTTTACCAAACTCTCTCGGTGATTTGCAGTCCTCTTCTTGCTATTCTTGTGCGGCTTCTGCTTTGCAGGTGGAGTTGGAAGGATCCGAAAATGATCCTCCTCTGTACTGCTACTCGGAAAAAAGCCATACTTGGTCCTTCAGCTGTCATAATCTACTGGGTTTTGGGTTTTGTGATTTGTGATGCTTGGCGGGTTGAGCCTCGCGTGCGTTTGCTCGACCGGACCGAGGCAGGGACGCGGAGCCACAGTCACCTCGAGACGTGAGCGCGGGGCCACGGACTCATTCGCACCTGTTGCGTAAGAGTCGAGGTAGGGATGGAGGTATCACGGTCTTGCGAAATCAACGCCAGTGCAGGTTTGTGGGTGACATGCGGGCGCGCTTCAAGCCGCTGGATGGCGATGCCATCAGGGACTTCATCCAGGCCTCCTGCTGCTTTGATCCTTCAAGGGCTCAGGGATGTCATCTCCATCAGAGAGTGATTGGTGGAAGCTGTTCTGCGAAGCTGTGCTGACCGCCCTTCCAGGTAAACCTCCATTGGCACCTGGGCGCCGAGCACTACAGCAAGGGCGAGTACGACATCCCTGTCGGAAAGCATCTCCACTACCGCGACTGGGTTGATTAGTAAGTAGCCCACAACGGGAGATTGGTAGACCAAGCCTCCAGGACTTTTCCACACCGACATTCATTTGCTGGGAGCAGACCCAAGCACTTCAGGATTTCAAGGGTTGCGGGTTCCGGAGTTGGGAAAAACGGTGTAATTACTCCATCGTGCTTGTAGTGAGAATGTTAGGCAGGTCATGTTTCCTGCCATGGACACTGTCAGCTGTCAGCTGTCCATCTTTGCCACAGTTCTCAGGTCATGGTGTGCCGGAATGGGATGGCCATCCCCTCGTGCCAGAGGGTACGCAGCCGGGTTTCTTCTGCAACCTCAGGTGCCGGGACTGCTACTTGCGGCCGGGTTTCGCGCAGCCGGAAGATCAACTCCTGCAAAGGCAGTAGAGATATGATGCAAATCACCAAAGAGACTACGGCTTCAACCGCGACATCTATTACCACTGTCTCTTGCTGCTGCTGCCGCTGCTGCTGCTGCTGCTGCTGCTGCTGCTGCTGCTGCTGCTGCGGCGGCTACAAGAAAACAAAAAATTATGGTTATTTGAACATCATTTTTCTTATTAGTAGTTGTAGCCGCGGTGGTGGTGCTGGTGGTGGTGGTGGTGGTAGCAGTAGTAGTGGTATTACTGCTAGTACTCGTAGTAATCGTCGTCGCTGTCGTAGTCGTAGTTGGTCGTGGTAGTCGTAGTAGTCGCAGTAATCATCGTATTAGCCGAAGTAGTCGTATTCGCAGTAGCTGTACTGTAGTAGTTAGTAGCAGCAGTAGTAGTCAGTCTGTTCAGCCGGGAGAGCAAGAGGGCACCCCAAGACAAGGCATGGCAGAGATTGGCAGTTTGAGTAGAGGCAGGGACTACTTGGGGCAGCAATGCTTAGCATGCAGCCGGCCACCGGAGACACCAGGGGCTACGATGACTTCCTGAAGCCGTACGACTTCCAATACTGCCAGCACGCCAAGGTCGTGAGCTTGTCGTGACTCCCCACCATCTCCGGTGTGTTTGGGTCTGTTCCGAGGTCGGCTATACTTATGAGTTCCACTGGGTCTTCTCCTCTGCAGGGCCACTCGAGAGGGAGCTTCTCGGCTTTAGCTGGCGGCCACTTTCGTGTTCAATGAGCGGTCAGGCTTGAAGGCAGCGCTGTCTTGTCTTCGTTCCAACCCCGGTCCAACCCCACCTCACGCACCAAAGAATGGAAGGTGTACACGTGAGTCCTGGATGACGATAAGCCCGACACGCGTGATGCAAGCAGGTTCCGGATCTACAACGGTTTGGGGCAAGCCTTTAATCGCTCGAAGAACCCGACGGCCATCGTCCGTGGACAGGCGCGCCGCCAATAAACCGCAAGTTTCTGTTTAGAGCCTCTGTGGGTTGGAGGATGTTGAGCTGTAGGATTGAGGGATCGAGCCACTGCTGCATCACAAGCACCGCCACTGCCACAGTGGGTGCCGCAGAGTATGTGTGCCGTATGTGGACTTGAATCTCCACAGCGGCACCGTCAGCAGTCTCCCGCCGAAATCCCCACACACTGTCCAACAGACGGCGACGTGGTGGGCAATATCCTGAAAAGCATGTTTCCCAGCGTGTCAAAGTAAGTAAGTAAGCAAGCAAGCAAGTAAGAGTGTGAGAGAGCGCGCGCGTGTGTGTGTTTTTGTTGCGTGTGTGTATGTGTGTGTGTGTGAGTCTGCACTAGGTTATGTCTGGAATGATCGACATCGATTCGCCCAAGTTTTTCTGTTTGTAATGGTGTCGGGCAGTATGTCTGGATGTATGGTTATGAAACTACATCGCACGCATCACGCTTCAAGACAACCAACCATCAATGGCTCCGTAATTTGCAGGAAGAAGCTCGGGCTGGTTCTGCGTCTTTGTGCTTGAGTAATTGCCTGAATCGTAATATCGTCGTCGAAGCCAGCCCGATCGTGCGAGATCTGGAGTACTCCTCGTGCCTCAAGGCTTTTTGACAGTGTCGAACTCGCCGGCACTGCAGCCATGACAAAGGCACTGAGCCCCAATGCCATACTAGATAGGCCTTGATGTGCAGGTGTGTCGCATCATCAACGATGAGCGCCTGGAGACGGAGGATCAAATCGAGGAAGTTCCTCAGCTTCGAGCATACCTCATCTTGTCAGCGTAACGCGGTTGCTAGAGCAACAATTTGTACCAACGTAATTACCAACAAAACAGCACCGAACATGACAACTGCAAAATCCGTGGCGCGAACCACAGTAACAATGACAGCATCGCACATCGCGGCGGCCGCAAACCCCTACCACCGCCACCCCAACGCCAACGCCACCGCCACCGCCACACCGCCACACCACCACCACCACCGCCGTGCCGCCACCGCTGCCGCCACCACCACCGCCGCCGCCACCGCCACCGCCGCCGCCACCACCACCGCCGCCGCCACCGCCACCACCACCGCCGGCACCACCACCACCACCACCACCACCACCACTACCACCACCACCACCCCACCAGCACCACCAGCAGCAGCACCAGCTCCGCACTAGCAACACCAGCAAACAGCAAACAGCACCAGCACCAGCACCAGCACCAGCACCGGTTCCAGCACCAGCACCAGCACCAGCACCACCACCAGCACCACCACCAGCACCACCAGCACCACCAGCACCACCAGCACAACTAGCACCACCAGCACCACCAGCACCACCAGCACCACCAGCACCACCAGCACCACCAGCACCACCAGCACCACCAGCACCACCAGCACCACCAGCACCAGCGCGAGCACCAGCAGCACCAGCACCACAAGCACCAGAACCAGCACCAGCACCAGCACCGGCACCAGCACCAGCACCACGACCACGACCACGACCACGACCACGACCGCGACCACCACCACGACCACGACCACGACCACGACCACTACTCCTACTTATACTACAGCGAATACTAGTCCAGCTGCGGGTGCCAGTTTGCCCATGTTTCTGCTACCAGGCCTGCTGCAGTTACTACTGGGTATGACTGTTTTTGTTTAAACGCACCAGCTTCAATTGCAACATCGATCGCATCAACAGGATGCCCTGTGTTGTTTTTCTTTATCTTCTTATAAATAGCATACACTTCGCTTCAACTCCATGATAACCGTCATTACTACTTTTGGTATTGGTGATGCCGTTGTTGCGGTCCTTTATGTATTAGCATTCGTAATGCTTGGCCGGAGTATGACTGCGATGAAGATGAGGACGCCCCGGATGAATGTTGATGGTGGTTACGAATACCATAGCCGTTCGAGAATGTTGAACCAAGCCTAGGATTACAACAACTTCATCGAGCAATGGCGAGAGCCATACTTTGGAGATGCAGCTCCTTGGCTTTCAGAACGGATCCTTCATGACGTTAAGCCGCAGACTGCCGTTTGCTGAGTTCCTTGGCATCCTACTTGCTGTTGTTGTGATGGTGGTGGTGGCGGCGGCGGCGGCGTGTTGCCGTCTCTTCTCTGTACCATGACAGCAGGTTCGGTATGTCGGCTCCACTACTGGGCCCTCCTACAACAACGAGGTGCGGTACTCGATCCACTGCTGTGTCTTTAACTCCCCTCCTAGCCGTTCGGCACCCCTTCCAGTCAGTAGGCGGGAAATGGGCTGATTTTAAAGCGTCAGCTACTATCAACAGGGCCACACGCGGGAAGCGTACGTAATTATGAGATGAAGTGATGAAGTGCAGAATATCCTAGAATGTGTCGGCATGCTAGCATCTGTTTCATGTCAAGACGTAATTTCGCCAGTGGTTGTTCTGACATTCCCAGACGGAGTCTACTCTTGCTTGAAGCAGGTTTGCTCGCCGCTCGCGGTCAACTGGCATGTGGACACGATCCTTCCATGCACATGGGAAGGCTTAATCAGGCTTAATATCAACTGCTGCTACTGCTACTGCTACTGCTACTGCTACTCCTACTCCTACTCCTACTCCTACTCCTACTACTACTACTACTACTACTACTACTACCACCACTACCACTACCACCGCCACCACGACCACCACGACGACGACGACTACTAGTACTCTACTAGTACTACTACTACTGCTAGTACTGCTACTACACTACTACTGAACGAACCTCTGTGTGCATGAAGATTCGCGGCGCATCAGCTTGCGTTTGCGAGTCCTGACTCGCGTACTGTCTCTCGGCATTGCAGCTGCCAAAAAGCCCGTTCGCTGCTGTTCGCAAACTAACCGAGGTAACGTAAGCTACGCCAAATTAAGCTCTTCGGCTTGCCCAAAGGTTTAACAGTTTACCCTTTTCCACAACAACAGCAACTACTACTACTACTACTACTACTACTACTACTAGTACTTGTACTAGTACTAGTACTAGTACTAGTACTAGTACTAGTAATGTGGCGGCCCGAATAGCAGAGGGCT